CATAAAGTAATGATTAGTAATCATAAAGTAATGATTTTACTCAACTTTTACTGTATTGGTGCTGATTTTACTTATTTAACTGTGTGATTTTATTGTGTTTTTGTATTCAGTTTTTATTTTTTGTGTTCAGCACTTTGTTTCAGCAGTGGCTGATATTATAGCGCTTTATAAATAAAGTTTGATTGATTGATTGATAAAATATGAGGTAAAGTTCTCCTTTTTTAATTTGATTGGTGCATTTTAAGTGTATTTATTTATTTATTGGTCATTTAATATATTTTTAATTATGTCAGTGTTGGTCCTCCATACCTCATGAATTAAAAATAATAAAAAGCTGCAGTTTTTCTTTTCATGAAACAGGACAGGAGCCAGACTGTCTGTGTAGAGTCAAAAATGGCTGCATGACACGCTGCAGGTGTGTGTGTGTGTGTGTGTGTGTGTGTGTGTGTGTGTGTGTGTGTGTGTGTTACTATAATGGTGTGTCACTGAGACCCCCCTCTGCATGGCTGTGCAGCCCCTCGGTGAGTCTGTCTACATTTCTGTCGGCTCTGAGCCTCACCTCGGCCTGCACCGCCTCACCTCTGCAGCTATCAGCCGAGTGTAAACACACAACCACAAGTATTTCTCACAGCAGCCCGGCTTCGTGCCTGAGCTGCACAAACAGCCGCCTCTCGCTCCTCAGCAGATTATTTTTAAGAGTCTCGTCACGCTGACCGTGACCCGTTGATCCACTTTCTGGGTCCTTGTGACGGACGCTCCTGTTCTTTATGACTGTCTTTGTCTGTCAGACACTTTGACTGAAATATCAGCCTCAGTGAAAACAGCAGCACACAGCCTGAGAGGCTCTGTGGCGCCGCCTGGTGGACGGTTAAAGAATGTGTTTTAACTTGTTTTAATCAAAGATCCAATCATTTCTTTGTTAAATAAAACAATGAAATAAAAACAAAGTGGATATTTTTCTGCCTGATTATCAGGAAAACTTTAATTTAATGTAAAAAACTTTATTTTTTAAAACTTGATGCTTAATTTGTCTTTTTTCTCAAATCCCTTTTCTGTTGTTTGTTTTCACTTCCTTTCCTGTTGTCTTTCCCTCCTCTCCTTCTTCCTTTCCTCCCTCCTACCTTCCTTATTCTTTGCTCCTTGATCCCTTCTTCTCTCTCCTCCTTTCTCTTTTCTTTTTCTTCATCCTTCCTTTTCTTCTTTCCTTCTTCCCACCTCCCATTTTCTCTCCTCTTTCCTTCTCTCTCCTTCCTCTGTCCTCTTCTCCTGCCTCCTCTCTCCCTGCTCCCTCCGTCCTTCCTCACACCTACCTTCCTCTCCTCCACCTCTCCTCTGTCCAACTTCTCTATTTTCTCACCACCTCCTCCTCCTCCTCCTCCTCCTCCCTCTCCTCAGTCCAGACGACAGCAGGACCCCAGCCCTGGCTCAAACATGGCCAACGCTGACGTGGAGCACAAGATGCGCTGAAGAGAGGAAAGACCTACGAGGAGGAGGAGGAGAAGGAGGAGGAGATCCGTCTGTTGAACTTCAACACAATCAGCTTTAAAAAGTTCATTAAAACCACAGATGTATTGTTTTAAATAGTTTAGTTTTTGTAATTGCCAATAAAAAGTTCCACAATTTTATTATAAATTCAAAAAAATCCACTTTTTGAACTTAAAGTCAAAAACTAGCTTTGAAAAAGAAAAGTTAAGTCAGAAAATAACTTCAATTTTAATGACATTTTTAATCAGCAAAAACGAAATGATTGGAAACAGTTTATGAGGATGAAGATGAGGAGGAGGAGCAGAAGAGGAGGTTTTTGTGACTCTGGTTTTTCCAGCAGATCATGAATCTAAAGTGTTGACAGGACGTGTGGAAAAATAAAAATCGGCCTGTTTGAACGGACTTTTGATCAAACTTCTTCAAACCTGCTGTTTTCTGAGACCAAAGTTCAGTTTTCTGGAAGGACGGAGGAATAAACAAGTTAAAGTTGTTTGAAATGAGAAGTAAACCAAAGATTTCTGCCAGACTGTGGAGTTAGGAAGGTTTTTGATTTTTATTTTTATTTTGTTCTTTCAGGTTTTGTAGAAACAAGAGAAACAGCAACAGTTATCTTTTTATCTGAATCGTCCTCTGTTCTGAAAATGTTCTCTCTGTACTGAGGACGTTCTCCTCTCTGTTCTGAGAAGTCAGTTTTGATCCGGTGCATGAAACCCAACACAAGTCTCTTTTTTATTTTGCTTTTATCTAAAAACAACAAAAAAATCTTTTTTTAATCTTTTCAATGTTCCTGAAAAAACAACTGTTTGAGTTTTTGCTGAACAAACGAAAAAAATCCCTTTTGACTAAATTGTAGAATCCCGGACGAGCCCCCAAGTATGTTCCGCTCCTCACTGAAAACAAAACTAACGAAAGGAAATTCTTTCTTAAAGTAAAAACTGTGAAAGTTTTGGACACTTAATTGATCACTCTGGTAAAACTGACTGAGCTGAAGCCATTTTTGTGTTTGCTTTGGTTAATTAGCTGTGCTGGCTATTTTGAATCTTTTTTTGTTATTTTTTTAGCTTCTTCTCGTATCAACATCTTACTTAGAAGCTTCAGAAACTTTTTTACTTTGTCAAAAAATAAGAAAACAGGTCCAACATCCTGCTGTAGAAATCTGATTCCAAACTAAAAGATTTGTAACCGTCAGTCCCTTTCTTCGTCTTCTTCATCCTCCCTGCATCCAGTCCCTCTCCTGTTTCAGCATCAGTGTAATGAAACTTTCTGTTCACGTTGTAACTTTTATTATGTTTGTGTGAAAGTCTTGATGTTTACTTTTTATATTTTTCTCATTTCTGTTTCTTTTTTCAGCTTTTTGTTAGAAATATGTATTTTTAGTAGGTTGTTATGTAAATTTCAGCTAAAATATCTGAACACCAACAGACTTTTGGGAGGTTTGAGGACATCTGTTGTGTTTATTTTTACGTGCTTTGATTTTTTTTAAAGAAATCCACTTGAATGTGGATTGACTCGAGTCCTGTAATCAGTAAAATGTTAATATTTTGCAGCTAAAAGCTTTGTTTGTTTTTTAGTTTTAGTGCATTCAGCATTTATGTTTCGTGCTTTTTCTGCTCATTCAGATTTATTACAAACCGATTTTTTTGTAAAGTTTTATGAAAAACTTTAGAAAAATATCAAATGAAAAAGTGAGAAAAGCTCATTTGGAACAAGATGAAGTAATCTAATCTTGAAAACTTTGATCAAATCTAAAGTTTTTTAAATGTTTTGTTTGTGGATCTGCAGCCATCACCAACTCAGGGCTCAAAATAAAAACAAAATGTAAATATTTTATTATGGCACTTAAATCGGCTAAACTTTGATCAGAAATTTAAATTATACCCAACAAACATTTAGCAAAATGCAGACAAAACACATTTTAAGGTCTTATGACTCAAAATTAATCAGAATAAAACAGTTTTCTGCAGATTGATGAGGGACGGGTTTGTGTTTTCTGGGTCCAGTTCTGGTTCTGAGTGAGTTTGGACTCAAGGGCTTGTTCTCATGAGGTTAGATCTTGAATAAAGAATTAAAAAGAAAAACAAATCAAACGGTTAATAGCTGTGCCTCAACTAAAATTCAAATTTTAAATTCAAAAACTCAAATTCATCCTTCATTTTCTTAATGCAGGCATTAAGTCAGGCCTTAACTCAACATTTTCTTTATTTTTTCCACCCGAACTTTTTATTTAAGTTGTTTTTTACCTTTAAGCTTCTCTTGTTTTTAGCAGCTTTTCTTTTTTCTCTGTCTGTATGAAGTGTGTCCTCCTCAGAGAAGATCTTCATTCAAAATGTCAACTGTTTGTCACAATAAACGTGTATCAAGTCAGAAACTGTTTGTTATTTGTACAAAGAACACGACTTTCAGCTCATCTCATCATCAGCTGAAGGACAGAATCACCTAAACAAAGACATATTTATTATTAAGACATAATAAAAAAACAAATCATTCTGAAATAATTCAAAAATTGTTTCATATGCTTCAGATTTGACAGATTTCTGTCACTAATGTAATAAAACCTACTAATCCAATCAGTTTTATATTTTCATAAGTTTTACACTAAAATTATTCAAACATATTTTATGTGTTTATAGTCTTACTGCATAATATTATCATGTGTTTAACCTTTATAATCTTGTGTGCAACAATATTGTATAAATATAGAAATTTGAGAATGTAATTCTTAAATAATTGAGTTTACAGTTATAAAACAATACAATGTTATGATACGTTAATTTTATTTTTAAATGATTGAAATGTTTTAAATACATTCAATATTTTTATGTTTCTATTTTTAATTGAGTTTATTTTAAATTAAAATGTTATGTTCTTGTTTTGAGTTGTTTATCTAAACTTCCTTCATTCGTGACCCGACGTGCGGTGTGACGTCATCACGCAGACGCAGGAACGTGCTCTGCAGGCAGGAAGTAGAACTATCAGCTGATCCCCAGTGCTGCGGTCGCTGTTGTTGTTGTGTGAAGCTCCCGTCGCTCTGGTTCGGACCAGCCGTTGCTCTTCTCGTCGCCTCTTGCCTTCGGAGACCGGTCAGCGGCCGGGGGAACGGACACGGTCGGTACCGGGAGCGGGACGCGTTTCGTGACGGGAGAAGGAGCTGCGTGTCACGGCTAGCTTTTAGCTCGGCGGAGCAGCCGGAGAACAAAAACACCAACAACCCCCCCGAGGCGTCTGCTTTCTGCTTTGAGTCGTGCGGTTGTGGGTTACGAAATATATTTTTCTCTTTATTTGTTTTGTTTTTATTTATATTTGTATTTTCTGAGCAGCACGGCAGACGCCGGGGCAGCTAAGTTAGCTAACATTAGCTCCTGATCAAAGCCCAAATAAAACCAGGTTTGAAGCTTTCCTGACCGCCTGACTGTGACAGAGTTCAGGTTCAGAGGATATTAATTATCTCTGATTAGTTTCTGTTCAGTGTTAACAGTGAGGTCTGATGTGTTTGTTGCTCCTCAACGAGCTGGTGTTGATTTTCTCACCACTTTTCTGCTCGAATTCAGGTTTTTATTGATTTTAAAGCAACAATTAGGTCGATCAGCAGCTGGCCTTGTGTGTTGTAAGTGTGCTGACACGTTGCGTAATTTGTTTGTTTGTTAGCTGTCCTCCTGAGCTGAGTGTCTTAACACAACAAACCCGTGTTTTAGTTCAGGTAGGAGCTGATTTTAAAACATTTAACCCTTTTTTAACCTCTGGTGTCGTTTTAACATCAAAACAATGAGATAAAGACTTTTATTTTCAGGCTCATGAATCTGATAGTTTTAGTTAAAGCAAGTTGAGATGATCTGAAAACATCCACCTGAGTTAGATCAGGGAGGGTCAGCAGGAAGACAGGGTCCCGTCCAGTCTCAGGTGAGGTGAGCCCCCCCATCACTTGCCAATGCTGGATCTGGAGGTGGTCCCTGAGAGATCACTAGGAAATGAGCAATGGGAATTCGCCTTAGGTGAGCATCAAATAATCAGAATAAGAGCATTGTTGTTTTATTGTTTGTTTTATTTTTATTTTGTTTTTCAGGGATGCCATTTTCCCAGGCCGTCTCTATCCTCCAGAAACACTGCCGCATCATCAAGAACGTCCAGGTGCTCTACAGCGAACAGGTAAAATAACTCAAACCGTTTCTCTCAGGAGCTCTCAGGCTGTTTGCAGTTTTTACATGAAACCTCAGGAGTGATTTTGTTTGTTTTCCCTCCAGACGCCGCTCAGCCATGACCTCATACTGAACTTGACTCAGGATGGGATTAAGCTGCTGTTTGACGCCACAAACCAGAGACTCAAGGTGTCTGTTTTCTACAAAGTAACAGCCTTAATGAAACCCCAGCTCATTTAATGAAATGTTCTCTCTTTCTGTGCAGGTTATTGAGGTGTACGACCTGAGCAAAGTCAAGTTGAAGTACTGGTGAGTTCACAGTGAATCCAGACACGTTGAATCTGTTTGTTTTCCTGAACGAGTGTTAAGAGTTCGTGTCGTTTCCAGCGGAGTCCACTTCAACTCTCAGGCCATCGCTCCCACCATCGAGCAGATCGACCAGTCGTTTGGAGCCACGCACCCTGGAGGTACTCTGAAAGGTTCCCCCTCCTCCACACACAAACACATCTACAGACACGTTCAGGTGTTTTCCTCTGTCTGCCTCCGTCCAGTTTACAATCCTGCAGAGCAGCTGTTCCACCTCAACTTCAGAGGACTTTCCTTCTCCTTCCAGCTGGACTCGTGGAACGAAGCTCCGAAATACGAGGTGAGGAGCTCTGGATGGTCTCACCTGTGATTAACCTTCGTCCAGGCAGGCTGAGATCAAACTTCCTGTTTGGATTTAGTTACAGTTAGGTCGACAGACAAACTGATGTTAATGTTTTTATAAATAAAATCTGAAAAATCATTTGTTTTCAGACTTTCTCTTTCTGTTGTCTGAAAGATAAAAAGCTACACCTCTAGCAGCTAAAGTTTTAAAACGGGCAACGTGTTTTTAATATATTAAACCTGTTAGAAACTTTCTGACAGAAATTTAAACAAAGACGACAATAAGTGAAGAAGATGTCTCTTTATATCTTTATTTAAATTCCTGAAAACAAACAAATATTCATAATTATTCTGTTTGCTGCTGCAGATTCCACATGGAGCCATGGTTAAAAGGATGCACATCTACACTGGTAACAACCTGCAGGAAACCAGGTGTGTAACTAGACAAGTGTGCATTGGCATGTAGCATGTCATTGCAGCATGGCTTTACCTGCAGCAGTGCTCTTGCAGAATGAAATGTGACCAAGTTCAAATGTGTTGTCTATACCAGCTTGTGCTTGTCAAGTCAGCAGGTGTTTGTCCATCCATCCATCCATCCATTTTCTTCCGCCTATCCGGGGTCGGGTCGCGGGGGCAGCAGCTTCAGAAGGGAGGCCCAGACCTCCCTCTCCCCAGCCA